GTATCTAAACTGTCTTTCAATATTTTTTGCAGGATTGGTTTGGTGTTCATGAAGTTCTTCAGCTGTTCTTTGTCATGGAAGTATCGTATTGCACCATCTATTTTGAATGATAGTTTTGCAGGATATATCAGTCTCGGTTGGAAATCGTTTTGCTTTAGGATCTGGAATACTTCACTCCATGCTCTTCTTGACTTTATTGTTTGTGCTGAGAAGTCTGCTGTGATTCTGATAGGTTTTCCTTTATAAGTGATCTGTCTTTTCTCTCTGACAGCTTTTAATAATCTATTCTTGTGTTGGATTTCTGGGATGGTGATTATTATATGTCTGGGTGTAGTTTTATTTTGGTTATGACTGTTTGGAGTTCTATATGCTTCACTGATTCTGATGTCAGTTTCTGATCTCATGCTTGGGAAATTTTCAGCTATTACTTCTCTAAATATCCTCCTGACATCCTTCATGTTGTCTCCCTCTCTTTCATTAATCCCTATCATTCTTATGTTATTCTTCTTTGCATCGTCCTGCAGTTGTTGAATTGTTGTTTCCTGATTCCTTGTTATTTTCAAAAGATCTTTCCTTTCCTGTTCACTAGCTGCAATCCTGTCTTCAAGGTCTGAAATTCTATCTTCACTTTCATTAAGGCGGTTTTTACAACTTTCAGTGGAGTTTTTTATTTCCTGTATATCTCTGTGCATCTGCATTATGTATTCTGTTTGTTTCTTATATTGCTCGTCTAGGGATTCTATCTTTTTGTTTAGTTCCTCCAATTTTTTATCTGTGTTTTCTTTAGATATATTTAGAATCTCTTTCATTTCTTTTATCATTTCTTCTTTTATCTGGGAGATTATTTCGAGTTTGAATTTCTTTAAAGCTTCCTGGAGTTGCTTGTCAATTTCAGTGGCTATTGTGTCCGATATATGAGGTGGATGGGATATATTTTCTTCTATATACATCGCTCCTAGGGTTTCTTGAGATGGGCTGGAGGTTTGAGGTTGTAATTTAGTCTTTCGTTTTGTCATTTTCCTATATTTCTGTGTTTCAAGTGTTATTTGAAAGCTTCCTCAGGATCTGTTGAAAATCCCCTTCTATGTTTGGAGCTACTGAGACTCTGGCACCACGCTACCCCAAGCCTTTGGGCCTACAGAACTAGTAAGCCCGCAAATCTTGTAATCCACAAACAAGCCCCCAAACTCGAGTTCAAAAAATGAGGCAAAAACATATTTTAAAAAGCAGTGCTGATTTATTTTATCCTGGGTCCAGCGACAGAGTGCAATTGGAAACTGCAAAAGCTGTGTGTCGTTGCTCTACACTTGCCGCCCTTATGTACACATCACAGCTCACAAAGTAAGGGTTATGGGCGTGGGTCAGTAAATCTGTTCATGAGGAAGACCTTTGTTTTCCTCAGCAGAGAACAGAGGAGTCTAGCAGCAATTAACAATCTTTTGTTACCTTATTTTAGCACCACATCTGTTATTTGTAGAGGGCAACAATGGTTAACATATCAATTAGGTTAGGTTTTACAATTCTTTACAGAGGAAAGCATTGATTAACATATCAGTTAGGTCACCCAGAGGAAAAGAAACACTCATATAGAACAGTAGGCCACAGTACAGGTATTTTGGTATAATACAAATATAACAAAAGCTCTTTTTGCTAGTGTACAACACTAATATCCCAAGAAAATTTTTGTCACCATTGGAATGGCGGTAGACTTTAGCATTTAGTGGGTAGAGGTCAGGGATGCTGCTAAACACAGTACAGTCCTCAGCAAAGAGTCACTCAGCTCCAAACAGACAGTTTACACAGAAGTTTGGTTTCTACAGTCTTTGGTGTAGAAAGCAATGCAGAGAGAGAATGCAGGGAGGTAATTGTTGTTTGCTGCTGCCAGGCTTTTGGTGTCTGGAAAGCAGGCTGTATTATTTCTTTGTTTCTTGCATTCTGGCCCTCCAAGGCTTCTATTAGTTCACTCAGGTACTTGTCCTTTGTCCTTTGCATTCTAATTTCCCAAGGATTATCTTTAGTTTACTAAGGTCTTCACCATTAGTTTACTTACTTAAGTTACTCAGTTAGTTTACTCAGGCCCTTTATATTGTAATCTGCCTGTCTTACCTTTTATTACTTGATCTCAACAGTATCTCACTAAATGGCTGGCTTTGAATTTAAGAATTTCCTTTACGGAGCTGGAGGTTTAGCTCAGCGGCATAAGCGCCTGTCTTGCAAGCAAGCAGTCTTGAGTTCGATCCCTGGTACCGATAAAAAGGAAAAAGACAAAAAAAAAAAAAAGAATTTCCTGTACCTGCTTCCCAAGGAGCTGGGATTACAGGCATGTACTACCATGCCTGGCAAACTATCTTTCTTAAATTTAAATTTAAATAAAATAGTGAAACTCCTCAACTTCTAGGTGACTCCACAACTAGGAGAACAGCTGAATTTTCCCACCTGCTTTCAACAAATCACACTCAGGGAATCCAAGGATCCCAAAGGTCAAGATTCTGAAGATAGTTACTGCAGAAGAGCGTTGGAAACTGGAATCACAGAGAGCTCACCTTTCGGGGTACACTTCCACTTCGAGCATGAAGATAAAATAATAATAAATGAGATCCATTATCTAACAAATATAGCTGTGCAACAACACGGTGGCAAAGGGAAGTGATAGATACTAGCAATGAGCAGGGAACAACACTTCTAAGTATATTTCTTTGTTGAGTTTTAACTCTCAGATCCAGTAGTAATATTTTACATCTTTAAAAAAAAGAAAGAGGAAATAAAATAAAAAAAGGAAATGGATGAAAAATTCATACATTAAAATGAACCAGGATTCAAGGGTTGGGAGGAACCTAAAATGGAACAGAAATAGAAACAAAGGAAATGAAAGAACCTACTGTGCAAGTCGAGGTAAATCAAAACATAACCCCACTTAAGGGCATGGGGAAGAAAACAACTAGCTTAAGTAACTTTAGAAAACAATCACATATCTTGACTGACTATTACAAACAAATGAACTGTAAGCAAATACTGTAGTTAGTAACTATATTTTTACACAGAAGTATGGTTAGGAATTATGAGACTCTGTAGGGATAGAAGTCTGTAGGTAGGGAAAAATAGAATAAGGGCCTCATTAGGCTTTCTGACTGATTCTGATCAAAGGTTAAACTTACCAGAGGAATTCCTTTAGGAGCAATTAAAAGGACAAAGGTAGAAAGAGAAGAAAACCAGGTATAGAAAGGTACCAGACAACACAAATGGTGTAAGAATTTACAAGAAAGGAAGGAATTCTCTCTAACGAAGGTATCAATCAGGGAAAGAGGTGACAGGCAAAGCACGTGGAAGCCAGGAGCCCAGAAACCAAGATAGCCACTCTCTCACCTCCAATAAAATGCAAAGGAGATAAGAGGTCACTACCTAATATAAAGGAAAACTCTTATTTAATATATAAATGTATATTATATATATATATATATATATATATATATATATATATACTCACACCCATGCATGTATATAAAGAAAAATAGCATGATGTTTTCATAACAGGTGGTGTTACCTTAGTATGGGGAATCCTAGAGGATGCCCCAGATCACAGATAACCCACTACAGAGCTGGCCATTAGAGAAGAAACTGAAAATGCATGTGCAGTAATCTCCATGACCAAGGTGACCCAAGCAGCAGTTTACTGAACTAATGAATGTCTAGAAGCTAATGACACTTTGAGCCATTAGCTTCTAGACCTAGAGCTAGAGGCCAAAGTTACTTGCATTAATCTCATGATGTCTCAATAAATTTAGTATTAAAATATTTATGTAAGTTTTTTTTCCCTGGAGTGTGTATATATGTTTTTGGCAGAGTCTGTATGTTTTTTCACTCTAGGGTCACACTATACTACTGCAGTAGATATGTATGCATCCCCTTTTAAAATCATGAACTCTATAAGCTAACTTTCTATAAGGCATCTTCAGACTAATCTGTAAACCCCAGAGACAAGGCCTTGACAAAGACAAAAATGCAAGAAAAAGTCAAACAAAGCCCAACAAAAGGAAGATGTATATATGCAGGGGTGCCTACTTTAGGGTCTTGGGAGCTGGGATCCATCCAAAGACAGCCCAGAAAGTCAATCAGATTTCGACAAGTGACTCTTCCCTAGGGGGTTGGAATGGTGACTCCTGGCTTCCTCAGGATGATAGGGAACTATCTAGAAAATCAGTCCTTAGGATGTGGATGCATTTATTTGATCTTTTGTCTTGAGGCCTGGCCCACAGCAGGAGGTGTCTGTCTCCCCCACAGTTGCAAGGTATCTGTACTAGCTCCATGGAGGATCCAGCCCTGTCTGGCTGCCTATAATATTTCTAACTAACTCAGCCTCCTGCAACAATAACAGCATCAGAGCTCCTCCGTTTTATGAACCGTAGAACCTAAGACTGTCAAGTCTGTTACCTCCTTCCAAGTTGACCTCCAATCAAACTCTTGGTTAAGTCTTCTAAAGATCAATGCTACTTAGCTTGCCTTGGGTTTTTATTTTAAAATGTTTTTTTTATTTTTATTTTTTTCCTTTCCATACAGGATCTCATGTAGCCCAGGCTGGCTTCAGATTCACAGCAATCCTCCTGCTTCTGCCTCCCAAGTGCTGGGATTACAGGAATGTGCCACCACACAGGCTCTTCTCTCTTTCTTAATGCTTCAGCTTTGCCGTAGGCTGCAAAAGATCACAAGACGTCAATGGAAGGCCCAGAGGGCAGTAAATGACACAGTGTGCCTCCTCAAAGGAGCCCTGGAATTGCAGAAGAGCAAGGATGCCAGCTTGTGAGTGGCTGGTCACATGTGTGTGAGCCTCCCTTAAACGGATGCATAATGTGGAAGATCTCATCACTTTCTCACTCTCTCCTTTTTTGTAGGAGTGGGGGAGGGTAAGGTGTCGCTATGCGGTAGCCCAGGCTGGTCTCGAATTTGTAACAATCCTCCTGTCTCAGCCTCCCGAGTGCTGGGATTACAGGAGTATGCCACCAAACCTGGCTCTCATCGTTTTTTCGACATTCTAGAAAGAAGGCTTCTGCAAAGGAATGTCCTTTGGACCAGATGTCAAAGGCAGTGTCTTTGCCATCTGGCCCAAAGGCCGTCATCAGGGTCCCATCCTACAGGGCTTCAGCGCCTCTGCTACTCTCTTACCTCTCCAGGAGCCCGGGAACCCACTGTCCCGCCCAGGAGCGCATAGTGGCGCTTTCAAGCCTCAAGCTGCACCCTCAAGACTAACTCCAAATAGATACAGCACGCGAGCTGGGTGTAGAGACTCACGCCTGTAAAGGATCCTCAAGTAGCAGCGCGAGGCCTGGCTGGCTACGCGACGCCATCTGTGTTCTTGGTAGAGTTCGGCTTCCGAACCCTTTCTGAGCTTGCGCAAAGTAAGCAACTGCTTCGGCCACAGCTACCAGGGACCATAGAGGAAAGGGCTTTTCGGGTGGGTTGTGGAGTGCTGTCGGCCTGGAGGGTAGGCCTGCCTTGGGGCTGAGAGCTGGGCTAGGGGATGAGGATCCGTGATCAGTGCTGGATTGGGACACGGGGACGCTGAGCTCCATCCCCAGTGTGACTTGCGATTTGGATTTACACTGGTTTCCTGAGGACTGTGGAGCTTCAACACCTTTTTAACCTAGGTGTGGATCGCCAGGAGAGCCTCTTTCATGAGGTACTACTTCAGACCTCTTGCTCATTTTTATGAAAGGACACACCACATTTTACTTGTTGGTATGTAGGAGTTGTTTTTATATACCAAATCGGATGCCTTTCCTTTACCAGTGATACAACTGCAAATTTCTTAATTTTTGGATTTTCTTTTATTTCATCTTTCTTTTATCGGTGCTAATGATTGAATCCAGGGCCTGGTGCATGCTAAGTAAGTGCTCTACCACTGAGCTACATCCTCAGCCCCTTCTCTTTATCAAGTTTTATTTGTTCATTGTTTTTTTTTTTTTTTTTTTTGAGACAGGGTCTCTCTGTGTAGTGCAGACTGGTTTTAAACGCACTTTGAGGCCTATGGTGGTGGCTCAGGCATGTAATCCCAGCACTTGGGAGGCTGAGGTAGGAGGGTCACTGCAAGTTCGAGGCTGGCCTGAACTACATAATGAAATCCTGTCTCAAAAAGACCAAAACAAAACAAAACAAAGCAAAACAAAACAAAACAAAAAAACCAACGACTTTGTAGTGGATGTGGGGATTACAGGTGTGTGCCACTATGCCAGGCCTTTATTGAGTTTTTGAATACGAAGATTTTAAATTAGGGCTCAGTGGTAGAACACTTGCATAGTTCTTTCGAGTGCCTAGATTTGATCCCAGCATTAGAAAAAGAAATATTTAATTAAACAGTAAAACACAATGTAAACAATGCATTGATGTTGTTCCCTAGTTAGAAATATCCTCTGCAATTTGGGAGGGAAATTAATTTTTAAGAACATGCAGAAGACCAAGTGGCATATCTAAAATTCTTGGTGTTGCCACAGCTCGGAAGGAGTTTTTTGCTTTTTGTCCTTCAATCACTTTACCTTCTAATCATTGGGTGTATGGCCTTGGGCAAGTCATGTAACATTTCTCTGTTTTAGTTTCCACACTGAAATTAAGATAATAGCAGGGCTTACCCTGTGAGGTTTGGAATGACAATTAAGTATGTTAGTGCCTCATTATTACTTGTTTTTTATAGTTTTGTAGCACTGATTTTGTATATTTCATAGCTCTTCCATGACCTCAGGTTACTACTGCCCCTGTGATACCTAAGAAAATCCAGCAAAAGAAACACCAAGCAGGGGCTGGGGATTTAGCTCAGTAGCACAAGTGCCTGCCTGGCAAGCATGAGGTCATGAGTTTGATCCCTGGTACAAAACAAAATAAAAAAAAGAAATACCAAAGAATAAGATGTTGTCAGGTAGAGCTTAGGTTTAGAGGGCCACAGACCATTGTAATATCCAAGATTTTCTTTTGCCTCCAAGAACCCATTTTGGTCCCATTGAAGGCAATATCCCTACTGAGAATGCACAGTCAAACTGGAGGTGGTAGCACCCCTAACCTTCTAATCCCAGTATTTGGGACTACAGGAAGCAAGAGGATCTTCACAAATTCAAGGCCAGCCTGGGCTACATAGTGAGTTCAAGGCAGCCTAAACTACACAGTAAGTCCCTGCCTCTAAAAAGTACACAAATAAAAAGAATACTTGATCTGTAAGGCATGGTGGCACACATCTTTGAGCCCAGCAGTCTTGAAGGCTAACACAGGAAGATCACAAATTCAAGCCCAACAACTCAATGACTTAGCGAGAGCCTGCCTCAATAAAAATAAAAAGGAACTGGGGATGTAGCTAAGTACAAAGGCCTTGAGTTCAATCCCCAGTATTGAAAAAAGAACCAAAAACCAAAAAACACAAAAACAAATGAAATGATCCAAGGCAGACATGGTGATATATGCCTGTAATAGTAGCTATTCAGGAGACTGAAGCAGGAGAGTCATACATTTTTTGGTTTTTCTTTTGAGACAGGGTCTCTCTATGCAGTTCAGGCTGGCCTTGAACTCACTTTTTAGTACAGCCTGGCCTCAAACTCACAGCAATGTTCCTGCCTCATGGGTGTGCACCACTACGCCCAGCTGGAGGATCATAACTTTGAGGACAGCCTGGATAGTTTAGTGAGATCCTGTGTCAAGATAAAAAGGGGTTGGGGATGTAGCTCATTGGTAGAACATACCTATAAAAAACAAAATGAGAATGAAAAGAATACATGATCTATGTGATCATTGGCTATTAAATAATTGGGAGCATTTTGTGATTTGCTTCTTCCCTCCACAGCTGTGTATCCATGCCATTAACTTACAGTACTGCATTTCTATGATAATGCTTAAATAAAAACCTTTCCTATGGAACTTTTCAAGCACCCATAAACTAGAGGGACTTGTAGACCCCTATGATGCTCATTGCTGAGTCTCATGGGTCATCAACTCATGACCAGTCATGGTTCATCTAGATCAGAGATTGAAAAACTGTGGGCAATGGGCCAAATCCAGACTGCTACTTTTTAATATAGCCATGAGCTAAGAGTTGTTATCACATTCTTTATTGGAAGATCAAAAGAAGAATATTTTGTTACATGTGAAAGTGACATGTGAAATTAAAACTTCAGTGTCTGTAAAGAGCTTGTCTTTTTGTAGCACTGCTGCTGAGTGCTGTTAGCTAATGGGTACTTTTACTCTATACAGGCGGTGTCAACAGAGGTTGAGGAGCCCTAATCTGAAATCCAAAATATGAAATGCTGCAAAGGCTGAAACATTTTGAATGCTGCTATAACAGTTTTCTGGTTTTGGAGTTTGGATTTTTTTTGGTGGTACTGGAATTTGAACCCAGAGCCTTCGCACCACATTACATACCCTGCCCTTTTTATTTATTTATTTTTTTGAGAAAATCTACCAAGTTGAGTTTGTGATCCTCCTACCTCGGCCTCCCAGAGTGCTGGAATTGCAGGTGTGCACTAACTGGCACAGTGATTTTGGATATTTGACTGAAGGATGTCCAACTGGTAGAGCCTATGAAAATGTTCCAATCCCCCAAAACAACAACATCTCTGAAATCTGAAACACTCCTAGTCCCAATCAGTGACTGATTCTTTGCAGTGATACTGCAAAGCTCTCCCTCTTCACCCTGTAATTTTATTTTAGCATTAAGCTTTTGAAGTTTTATCTTTTGTACTTAGAATTCCTAGACACTGCAGTTAGATTTTTGAAACTCTTTGTATTCACTGTTTTAAAAACCCTTGATCTGGGTGTGGTGGCTCATGCCTGTAATCTCAGAACTCAAGAGGCTGGTCCAGGAGGATTTCTGAGTTTGAAGCTAGCTTGGCCTACAAAGTGAGTTTATGACCAGCCTGAACTACATAGTGTGACCCTGTCTCAAAAAGCAAAAGAAAAGAAAAGCTCTTAAAGGGTGGTATTAATTTGTATTGTCCCTATATGGGCTGCAAAAGCCTTTTTTTTGGGGGGTGGGTTATTGATGGTGGGTGTCGATGTCGCTCCCGGCCGGCAGGAAAGACACACGACAAGGTCTGGCGGTGGTCAGGCTTTTCTTTATTCTCTCCTTATACAGTCTGCCCCGAAGCCTCTACCGGTCCGCTCTCCGCGGCTCCTTCCGTGCTTCAGTCTCTCCCGAAGCCTCTACCGGTCCGCTCCCCGCGGCTCCTTTTGTGCTTCAGTCTCTCTCTCGGGGGTGGAGGCACTGGCTATATATAGGATTAATAGCTAGGCAGACTACCCTGTGAGGCGGGAACTTAGTGGGGTGATAAGAAACAGGTGCCACACAGGCGGGCTCGATGAGAGGGGTAATCTAGCTCAGGCTTTTGTACTTTCCCACAGGCCTCGCAATCACCGCGTCTGATGACTTGACAGTGCCACGGCTCCCAACATCTCCCCCTATTTTATTTTAAATGATGGCTACGCGCATCGCAGCCCGTCCTGGATAGAGTGCAGAGGCCTACGCCCCGAACTGAGGCCCACCGTAGGCCCTTAGCGTAGACCCTGGTCGGCCGTCCCAGGGTCCACCAAGGCCTTGAGGCCCTCGTCCTTTTTTCTAGGGCCAGGAATGAACCGGACGGAACCTGGTTGCACATAGGCATGCACTCATTTCTCTCCACGAATCCCCTCGGAGAGAAATTTATCTAACAATCCAGCGGCTTTCGAGCGGAACGTGGTAGGGCCTGGCTTAGGTTGAGTCGTGCTGGGGAGGCACGCTCTTACCCGTCATTGACTCACCCACCCTGCTACATGTTGTTGTCTAGGGAGGAGAATGTGGGAAGCCTGTCACTTTTAAACGCGGTCGTAGGCCATGCGAGCGAGCCATGCGTATACAAGGGTAGCACATAGGGGAGCAAGCCGTTCCAGGCCCCCAAAAAGGGATTGTCCTGCAGTTCTTTTAGGGCTCATCTTGTTGTTGGGTCTGCGGTTGGCCTCTGGTGGAACAGGCCTGATCTTCAGTCGAGGGACTTGTCGCGTCAACCTCTCTGGGACCCACATTGGTTCTCGTCCCGATTCCTGCGGAAAGACACAAACCGCGCCTCGGCTTCCTCTTTTGTATCTCTGCCCTCCTTGACGGACCCTTCTC